ACCCCGCTTGGTGCGATTGCCCCAAAAGGCCGGGGGGGGGGGGGATCCTTGTGTGGAGGCAGCCTGTCCTAGAGCAACCCACTGCTCCACTTGTAGAGGTGGGCTGTGCTGGGATTCTTGCAGACAGGGGCCAGGGCTCCTTCACGTCCATCGGGTCCCCTCAGAGCCCCTCATTTGTACATTCCCGCTCCGCTGTCGCCGCTTTTCTCAGTTTCCAGGGGGCTCCGATTGCCCGGGGCAGCCAGGAGGGATGCAGAGATGGGGAAGCAGAGCCCAGTCTGCGGTGTTGTATGTAGAGGTGGGCTGTGCTGGGATTCTTGCAGACAGGGGCCAGGGCTCCTTCACGTCCATCGGGTCCCCTCAGAGCCCCTCATTTGTACATTCCCGCTCCGCTGTCGCCGCTTTTCTCAGTTTCCAGGGGGCTCCGATTGCCCGGGGCAGCCAGGAGGGATGCAGAGATGGGGAAGCAGAGCCCAGTCTGCGGTGTTGTAGGGCCTGATCCTGAGAGATGCCCAGAATTGAAGTCAGTGGCGCTACATAACCTCTGGGAGCCATGGCTTTGAAAAACGTGCCTGCCTGAGCCCCCATCCTGCGAGTGGGTTCACATGGGCCGATCCTGCACAGTCTCGCTACCAAAGATGCTGTTCTCCGGGGCTGCCCGTTATTATCTTTCCCCCGCAGTGGTCCCTAGAGCCTAACACCGAGATCGAGCCAGGTGCTGTACATACAACCCAAGTAGGCCAGTCAGGCTGAGAGGGGAAACAGAAACACAGCGAGGAGTCCTGGGTGACTCCTGTGGCAGGTCAGTGGCTGAGCTGGGAACAGGCTCCCTGGCTGTCAGTTTACTGTCCGCTAGACAACACTTGGCTCTGTGTGTGCGTGCGTGTGTGTGTGTGCGTGTGTGTGTGGGTGCGCGTGCTGAGAGCAGGTGGAGAGTCAACTGAGGCGGGGGCGGGGGAGGATATGCTGGGATCCAGTAACCTCTGGGCAGAACACTTCCCCAGAGCAACCCAGGAAGCTGTTGTGGACAGGGTGCTTTGAGCCCCCTCGCTCCATGCTACCATTGGTTCTGCCACCACTGTGGATGAACTAGCCAGCGCTGGACTGCAGGGAAACTCCCTGTCTTAGCCTGCTGCCGCACCGCCTCTCCCTTACAAAATGGAAGGGGACGAGGTAGAATGAGGGGCGCTTTGCAGCGTGCCAATCGGAGAACCCCAAATCCACCCAGGGGGTTGTCCGCGCTGGGCTGCCCTGCGATTCTCTTCCTCCCTCTGTGTCTCCTCTACAGCTGCGCCCGCCCGGCCTGCGGGGAGCACGGCAGCTGCCTGCCATTGCAGCTGGACCACGCCTCGGTGAACTGCACGTCCGGCGGCCCAGGACACATGAAATGCGCCGTCACCTGTGAGACGGGATTCGTCCTCCAGTCCAGCAGCGGGAAGCGGGTGAGCCCCAGCGAGGTGAGTTCAGGTGGAAATCACCCTGCAAATCACCCTACCCACCTCTCTCCAGCTGCCCCCAGCTCTGCCAGTGCCCCTCAGTCTGACCCGGGCCACCCACGGCTCTGTCAGCCTGAGGCTGTTTGGCACAGGGGCTGCCCGTCAAGCCACATGGAAGGGAAGTGACGACAACGCCCAAGGCGGGAAGCTACTCCTGAGGAGTGCAGAGAGGGCTTTGCCCTCAAATCTCTCTTCTGGGTGCCAACCGCAGGAACACATTCAGTGGGGGGGAGGGGAGACAGACATCCGTTGTGAGTCCAGGATCACCCCTTGGTTTGATTTTTTTCTGGAATGCAGAAGACTGGTGCCTCAGAAATACTCCTTCTCCACCTCTCCCCTGGTAGTAGCCTCTTTCATGGATGCAGGGCTGAGGTGACGCAGAAGGGAAGAAAGCAGACACCACGACCCTGCTGCTCCCTTCTGGCCTACCTTTCCTCCTTTGAGTTCTGCTAGTCACACCTTGATCTCTATACACCTCCTAGTCAAGCATGCAGCACAGAGGGGAAACTGAGGCATGCACAGGCGTCGCATGAAATATGCAGATACCCCACTTCATCGCAGTCTGCACAGTCAGACACCCGTATATGGGCCTACAGGAGTCTGAGGGAGAGTGTATCTACACTGGTGCCATTTCCACAACGAGGGGCGGGAAACAAATACACAAAGTTGTACATTCAAAGCAGTGTATGAATGTACACCTTCCTCTCCCTTCACTCCAGCAATGCCCTGACCTACCCAGTTACACCCACATGCTCTCTCTTGGAGCATGTTTGCACAGGGACATCCAAAGTTCATTCAAATTAACCAAAGATGTGAATTTGAAGTGGATTGGGTCATCCACATGAAAACCACAAGAAAAAAGTGGCCTCATTTCCCCTGAGTTTAATTTTCTTCAAAGGGAATTAAACCAACTTTAATTCTGAGTAACAGTGTCCGTGCAGGAGCCTTAGTGAAGTTTAATCCACTTCAGATTCACATCTTAATTCAGATTAATTTTCCTGGATGTCCCATGTAGACAAGCCCTCGGACTCAAGGTCATGTCTGATGGAACTCCATTAAAGTCAATGGAAGTACCTCAGGGGTGAATTCAGTCCAGCTACACTCCCTGTTGCCCATGCCCCAGCCCACTTCTGAATTGTCCCAGCAGTCCGGGGGCCAGCCCTGTGCCACGCCCTCCGGCTTGCCCGGCAGTAGCTGATGAGAATACAGCCCCGTCTATGCAGGATACTGCTCTTTGCACCCTGGAGGGCCAATCCTGGTGAATTTGCCACGCACAGCATGTGCAGGTGTGATCCGTTAGCCAAGCGTATTGTCCAGAGAGGAGCCGAGTGGGGATGATGGTTGTGGCATTGGGGAGAGGCTCAGAGAGCGCGTGGGGTGATGCGCCATAGGCACAGGTGCTAGGAGCGCATGGCCATGCGGGTGGGAGTAGCTAGAATGCCGGGTGTTGCCGGCGGGCTGTCACGGATAAAGGGGAAGGTGCTTGTGTGTGTGTTGGAGAGACCACAATATGTGAAGAGGGATAGCTCAGTGGTTTGAGCATTGGCCTGCTAAACCCAGGGTTGTGAGTTCAATCCTTCAGGGGGCCATTTAGGGATCTGGGGCAAATCTATCCGGGATGGTCCTTGGCCCTGCTATGAGGGAAAGGACTGGACTCCATGACCTCTCAAGGTCCCTTCCAGCTCTGTGAGATGGTATATCTCCATATATTATGGATGAGGAGCTAGGCCCTAGGTTCTGGGCCAGAGAGAGAGAGCCTAGGCTAGTGAGTGGGCCACAAGGTTGGCGTAACCAAGCTGGTCTCCGGGGATAGGCGTTGTACCTAGAATTTGCAGATGGTGCTGCTTGAACCACAGCAGTGCTTTGACTGTGGCGGGAGTCCGTGTTGTGTGCACCTCCCTTCCCAGGCCCTTGCTTTAAGTGCACCTCAGTTGGGTAACGCCATAGGAGAAACCTACACGGAAGGAAACCAATAGCGTCAGGCAACCCTGCATGCGGGCAACAAAATATCTCACGGGCCACACGCTGAACCCCGATGGGCCTCCCTTGTGCTGTAAACCCTTCCTTCCTCTTGGCGGTCACTGGTTCTGTACAGTCCAGGTCAGCGTCCCACAAGTGTAGCCTTGTTCCTTGCAGGCAAAGGTCTGTTACGAGCCACCCCGCTTGTTAACTAGAAAACCTGGGACAGAAGGGCCTCGATGGTGAATTACCCTAGAAATTACCCTTGCAGGTCTAGTTAAAGTCACTTGGGCAGGGCGCTGGACACGGCCCTTACTGTGTTGGTTGTATCACCATGTCTGGGCCGCTGGACTTGGGTCTGTGAAGGTAGCGCCTCTCTCCCGCACTGGACAGGAGAGCACCGCGTGAAGTGGGGGGAAGACAGAGGGGTGTCTCCGGAGAGCTTAGGAGACTTTTTCTTGAGGCTGGAAGCAGTTAGTGTCTGGAAGAGACGTCCCACTGAGAATGCATTGCCCAAGGGTTAGGTGGACACTTAGAGAACTACTAGAGTGTGAAGATTAATCAGGCTGATGGATGAACCTAGTTGGCTGCTTGGTCCCTGTCTCTCCAAAAATGCTGCTAATCATACGGCTTTCCGGCTAACCCCCGCGTGGGTCGAGGCAGGTGTTACGGGATCTGCCACCCCAACACACGTTGGTCCGTTCTCAGGAGAAACAAACTGTTCCTTTTGCCTCTCCAGCGAGACCACGCCCTGTAAATCTGCCTGGAGGGAGTTCTTAGCGTTCGGCCGTTGGGGGTGAAGCGTATGGCAGGGCTGGGCTTGAGGCTGCGACCCAACCCCTAGGATGTTGCAGGTGGCCTGCGGGGAGTTTTGCCGTGGCTCTAGCACTGGTCTTCGAACTCACTGCTGGGCAGTGGGAGCCCCGGGGGTCTCCATGACTGGGTGAGCCTTTGGTGGGATGCTGCTGCTGTGATTCCCCATGCTGCTGGGCAGGCAGGCAGCACTGATCTACACTGCTCCCCTGATGCTCCTTCATGTAGCCAGGGTTATGATTACATCTGCCGTAGCTCACCGTCTTTGTAGAGGTTAACCCATGTTGGCCTCCGCACCGTGCCACACAATCAGATTTATCTCCCTGCCTGCTGGGAAAATCCAAGGGTATATCCCACCCAGCCTCACTTCCCAATGCCAGGGGCCAAGAACTGGGCTTCATAAGTAAGGGCCTGTGTGCTCTGCCAATAGACGGTGTGGTTGCAGCGACGCTGGCTGCACACACGGCATGGGTGTACCTCCGATCACCGTAGGGCTGTAATGTGATTGGCAGGCCATAACTAGAGTCTCAGCTGGTGGTTCTGGTGTGTGCCAGGGATTTGTAAACTCTGCTTATTGACCGGTCATCCAAATTCCTAGGTGTCTGTGGGGCTACACGGAACAGAAAAGTAAGTTTGGGAGACCCAGCGACAGTATGGCTGTCCTCTGCTACGGTGCAGATATGGCTCCGTTTTGCTGTGGAGAAAAGACCGAGCCAGATTGTCTGACACGCTACACCTTGCTTAGGAGCTGTGTGCCAGCCATGGCTTTGTGGAGCCAGCCCTGCTACTGATTGCAAACATCGCTCATGCAGATGACCCATAACCGCAAAGGCCTCACCGTGCATCGTGGGGCCACACATGCATTGCAGTCTCAGAGACGGCAAAGCAAGCACGTGCCTTTGAGGGGACGAGGGAGGGTTTGGGCACGGTGTCCCGGCAGGGAAAGGAAGGGAGAGACGCTGCTATTCTTTGAATTCCCGGCCAGGGTTTTTTGCCACTGCAGTAACGCCTAGTCTGTGTCTATGCTGCACAGCACTGGCGGCGGCATGTAGGGTCCGTGCTGTTACACACTGCAAGCAGCGTCCATGCTGCATTGTGTAGCTGCACACCTCCGTGAAAGGCTCCGGCCGTGGGGAGCTGCTGGAATCTTTCCTGGCCATGGAGAAGGCAGAGCCGCTGGACTGCTAAACACAGCGGCGTGTGGAGCCGTGGAGGGTACGAACCAGAAAGGTTCGGCCTTGTCTTTACTCTCTTGGCCTAAATTGTTCTTCGTGCCCACCCGGGAGAGGAGGGCGTGCAGCATACGTCCCCTACCTGCCGCCATAAGGCCTGTGCCGTCTGCACCTATCTTTAGACTACAAACCCGCTGATAAGAATCAGACGAGTAGTCCTGTCGCGCCTTCGATGCTTTCTTCTTCAGAAAGAGTTTCTGCTGACGTGCAGCTCCGGGCGGTGGGACAGATCCGTGACCTGTGACCCCGTGGACTGCGGCGTTCCCGACCAATCGCACGTGTACTATGCTGAGTTCTCCTGCCCCACGGGGACCACCTTCCTGGAGCGCTGCTCCTTCACCTGCATCAAACCAGCTAAGCTTCAAGGTACGGAATTGGCTGCTCGGAGGCGGGATTGCCCGCACGAGGCTGCTAGGCATCCATCCCTGTCTCTTTCAGAGCTGGGCTTTGCCTCTCCCTCCCTGCCAGTGTTGTTCTGAGTGTGCCGGCCAAGCAGCTCCTGGGTAGCCACGCTTCATTTGTCTCCTTCCCCTCCTCCAGAAGTGCAGCTGGCCGAATCAGGAGTGAGGGAGGGCACTACAGATCAGGAATGAGAAGAATGGCTGAGGGCATGTAATGGGATGGCGGAAGGCTGAGGGCACACATAGGGATGTGGCACTGGACACCTGACAACACGTGGCCTTTTGTAGCCAAAGAGGCTGCTGCCACTGTCCAGTCCCCGGGAGTACATGGCCGTAGAGCAGGCTAGAACCTGTCAGGGATGGTCTAGACGGTGCTTGGTCCTGCTGTAAGGCAGGGGACTGGACACGATGACCGCTCGAGGTCCCTTCCAGTTCTACTGTTCGATGATATTCTTTCCCATTGTTCATTAGGGTGGTGACGACTTATTAATTGCATCCCATTTAGGGGTCCCAGTTAGGGAGCATGGGGGCACCGCTCTAGCTCCTGCCCCAAAGAGCTGCCAGTTTAAGACCAGAGGATGAAACAGATGGGGTGGGGGGAAGCATGAAGGAGCAAGGTGCTTGTGGCCAGGTGGTCAACCCGCTACCAAGCGACTGCTGAGATTCCTACGGGCTTCACGGCAGAGGAGGGATGTGAAGGAAGTTGAAAGAGCTTGTCAGATTCCTTTAGAGAGGGGCGTCCCTCCTCCCCTAGGCAGCGCTTCATTGACTTTTCCCTGCGCTGACAAGGGAAGGGCCTGACCTAATGTCAAAGTCCAGAAGTTGCTTTCCAGTGACTGCACTGGCAGCGGCATCAGGCCCTCGGAAAGCAGCTCTTGCTGGTTTGCATGCCCTGAGGGGTTGTGTCTGCTGCAGGGAGCCCTGATGGCTTCCTCCTGGGCTCTGAGCATGCTCTGCTTCTCTCTCCTGGAGTCAGGAATGAGCCAATGGCTGACCTGCCTGGAGGATGGGCTCTGGTCGCTCCCGGAAGCCTACTGCAAGCTGGAATGTGATGCACCTCGCGCGGTGGCCAATGCCAGGCTGCTGGTGCCCCGGTGCCTGCAAGGGAACCACGACGTGGGGTCTGTCTGCCGCTACAAGTGCAAGCCGGGATACCACGTGGCCGAGAGCATGGAGAGCAAACCCCGGAAGTAAGTCAGAAGCGCTTCTGTCTCGGACGCGTTCCCCGCGGCCCTCGAATTCCGTGTCCGTGTCCTCTACTGCTTCTCCCCTGTTGCTTGCCGCAGCGTGGCAGGGGGCACAGAGATCTGTACAAGTAAACGTGGCTGCCGGCGTGTGCGTGCCATTCCCCATCGCTGCGTGCAAAATCGAGTGTTTGGTTTGAAGCGGGTAGGAACACGACGTGACTCTCCTGTGTCCCCACCCACGCACGTGGATGGCAGCCGTGCCATACAGCCCCCCGCGGAGGTCCAGAGAGGCCTGGGCCCCATCCAGCAGCTGAGGCCTCTAGCCATAATAAAAATAGCAAGTCACGGCACGTGGAAACAAAACAAGGCCCCGCGGGAAGAGTGAGACGTGGTTTGAATTTTTGTTTGACTTTAACAAAGCCTTTTCTAGCCTTTCTCTGCGCAGAGGCGCGTGAAACCAGGTTGTGAAACGTATCAAATGCCCCCAAATTAAACAAGAGTCGAAATGGGAGGCCCCCTTGGAGCTTGAGGCCTCTGGGCCTCGCCCCCCGGGATTGGCCCTGACGCAAGTTTACGCCGACTCTGTACTCAGCAAGCGGCCTCAAAGCAAAACTGAGCCTCTGACTAGGAGAGATCAGGATGCGACAGTTTGAGTGTCGCAGAAGGTGGTAGAACCTTCCTCTGAAGCATCTGGTATGGGCCTCCTTCACTGGAGGCACGTGCGCCGTCTCCGTGACCTCGGGGGGCTCCTTGCCGGCTTCGCGTTATACCTCTGAGCGAGGGTTGCGGAGCTAGGGCCTTAGCCGGTGGGTAGCTGCCGGAGCTGCCGTCTTTGAAATGAGGGATGCAGCCTTGGCGCTTGCGGTGATTCTCCGTGGGGACAGAGCGGCTAACCCTGCTGGTAATTACACTGCCGCGGGAAGAGGCGTTCTCCTCTGTAGGAGAAGATGCTGGCGGGATGGGGGCGCTGCTCTCCGGACTGTGCTGATGCCATCCCGTGGCGCTAGACGCTGCCGGGGTGTCCTTGGAAGGAGACTCCTGCAGCCTGGCCAGTTGCGATCATTCGAGAGTGCGAGCCAGTGTTTGGGGTCTCCCCGGGGGCTTGGCCTAATGGCCGATCAGGTCATTTTTAGCCTCCCCTGTAAGTTTTAATTGGAGGCAGCTTTCTTCTTCCCCGGCTCTCCTTGGCAGAGGCGTATGCTGCTGCGCACTGCAAAACGGTTGGCGTGTCCCCCCCCCCACGTCATTCCTGCACAGTCCTTTGTCCAGCCGGCTGAGGGGTCCTGGGCCGACAAGGAGCCTGCCAGGAGAGTCGTCAATGTCATGCATAATGACCCTGCACCCCCATTGCAAGTAGAATGGCTTTCTCTGCAAGTAGAATGGCATAAGCTAGAGTGGCTGTCATAAGAACATAAGAACGGCCGTACAGGGTCAGACCAAAGGTCCATCTAGCCCCAGGTGCCCCAGAGAGGGTGGACCGAAGGCAATGATCAAGCGATTTGTCTCCTGCCATCCCTCTCCAGCCTCTGACAAACAGAGGCCGGGGACACCATTTCTATCCCCTAGCCTTTTATGGACCTAACCTCCATGAAATTATCTAGCTTCTCTTTAAACTCTATTATAGTCCTAGCCTTCACAGCCTCCTCTGACAAGGAGTTCCACAGGTTGACTACACACTGTATAAAGAAGAACTTTCTTTTATTAGTTTTAAACCTGCTACCCATTAACTCCATTTGGTGTCAGAGCTGTGTTGTGTTTGCGTGCATCGCTGCGGCACACGCAAGCCCAAGTCCTGGCCCTGCGCCTCTTTGAGCGAGGCCAGGAGAAAAAGATGGCTCCCTATGAACGTTTGCGTGAATCAGTTTGTTGATTGCGCTCCGCCAGCCTTTCCCTGGGTGAGGAGCTGTTGATGTGCAATTAAATCTTGGCTTACACATGTTGACTTACGAGTTTGCTGATAGGCTAATTAGACTCACCAGCCATCTGGAAGCAGGAGGACGCAGTAACCAATGTAAACTGTGCAGACTTTTGTTTTCCCATGTATTCTCCAGCCTGTCTGGTCCCCTGCCCCCGCTGTTAAGGGGCTTCTCTTCATTGCACTGGGGCAGCCCTGGGCAGTGGAAGGTTTTTGCAAATTTCTCAAGCTCTCCTTGAGTTCACCAAACCAGTTGGAGTTAAGAGACCTGCCCCTTGTGACATTTCAGCCTGGGGGTGGGAGAAAGTGGCCTTTAGCTACTTGACCGTAGTCCCCAGTGCTGGGGGAGTGTGGGGCCGAACCCCAGCGCGAAGGAGAGAAACCCCGAGTTTGGTGAGTTCTGCTGGCTGGAGATTTGTCAATTTCACATGCGTTCATTTTTTTGATTGTATCCCTTTGGTATATATGGTCGTGCCAATTTTCTTCCACTATTTGATCTGAGGAAGTGGGTCTGGCCCATGAAAGCTCATCACCTAATAAACCATCTTGTTAGTCTTTCAAGTGCTACATAGTCGTGTCTTTTGTTTCAGCTAGACCAGACTAACACGGCTACATCTCTGTCACTGGAGGTGACTGTGTTCCTAGTGATCCTCGTGAGGCCCGTAGATTCCCCCCTCCCCAGGTGATTCATTTAAAAGAAACCATGTTGCTCTAGCTATAGCGAACCCTATGCTGTGTTAGGATTAGGGATGTAAAAGAGCTCCGGCAGCAGCCCCTGTTCGCAGGGGTCCCAGAGGGGAGCTGGGACCTCCCACGGATAGGGGCTGGTGGACCTGGTGCGAGCTGGGACCGAGGAAGTCCGGCTCATGCTCGGTCCAGGAGCTACCCCCGCTGCAGATCTGCAGTTTAAATGTAGCAGGAACCAGACTACCTGCGCTTACTACATTTAAACTGCAGAGCTGCAGCGGGTGGAGGGGGGGTAGCTCCCCGACCCAGTGTGAACCAGGATTGAGCGCCCTCCCTTTCGACTGATTGTGATACAAATTGCATCAGCGACACGATCGTCCAGTTACCCGCCTCTTAACATCCTTAGTAAGGACGAGAGCGCCTCCCCCTTTCTCTCGATAGCTCGGTTTATGTAAATAGCGGCTTTTTAGGGGGCCTGTGCTTTCAGCCATGCTTGTGTGAGTCAGCATCGCTCTAATCCGGTTCTCACTCTGCTAGTGAAATGGATTATGGATCAGGATTGCTCCTACGCCCCCTCGTGTGCAAGGCTCTGCGTGGAGACATGAAGAGGCAGTCGCTGCCCCGAAGAGAGGGTCGTGCACGTAGACAAAAGATGGAAGGAGGCAGGGGGAGAGGACACCCAAGGCTGTCAAAGCCATTTTGGTGCTTAGATGCCTTTGAAAAAATCTCACCCGGCGCGCCTCTGCCTCTGGAGGTGCGGAAATACATTTACATATCTGGGCTGAAGCAGCGTGGCCAAGGTCACACAGGGAGCCTGTCGCCAAGCTAGGGAAAGCTCTCAGATATGCTCAGTCCCAGTCCAGTATCTTCACTGCAAGGCCAACCTTCCTCCCCCTCTCTGCCCCGTCTCCCCAGGCCTTCCGAAGCAGGCACAGGTCCCCACGGGTGTGTCGGTCCCTCAGACCTACGTGTGGGGAGTGGCTTCAGAATTAGGGCCAGACGTGTGGGACGCTGCCTGCCCTGAGCCCCAGTCCCATTCACCCAGCTGTCGTGGCCCTGCCATTCCCTCGGTTGTGGGGGTGTCGTTTCAGCTGTGCCGGAATTCCCTCCGCTTCCTTAGGCTCTAATTGATTTTTACCCCCCGGGAAAGCAATGACAGGCCGCCTTGTTGTTAAATGCATACACAAATGCTGCCTCCTAATCTCCTGATTAGATCCCCTCTAATTCCCTGACGAACACCGCCATGGCTGATTACACCAAGGCGGGATGTAATTAGGTAACGAAGATTGCATTGCGATGTGCGGCGCATGGGGAATCTAGGCGCGGCTGTCAGTGCTTTCAGGAGGGTTCGGCTCTACTAAGGAAGAGCAGAGAGCCCTGCCGTCCTGAATTTCAGGACATTTCTCATTCCCGTGGTGGAGGGGCGAATGTTTTGGTAGAAACGGCTGCTTGGGAGTTACCCCTTAGAGCTTTTTATTGACACAGAATCCTGGAGGACACTGTGACCGTCCAATTAAAAGGCTATGCAACGACTGTTACCGTTTGATTGCAGGGGACACCGGAACGAGGATTGTGAGGGTGGGTGGTTTGACGCATCCTGAGCTTTTGTATGCACCTGGAATCCCTTTGTCAGCTACACGGGGCGCTCTCCGGAGACAGCGCTCCAGCCCCACCCCCTCCAGACGGACACGGGGTTACTAGCAGCAGGCTGGTGGGAGCCATGGCTAGCGCTCGCCCTTGTGCTGCCAGTGGGTTAGCCATTAGCTAGCACAGGGAAATGTGGGGGAAATGGTCTTTGTGGGGTGGGGGGAAGCGGTTCCTTGGAGGGCCCTGGATTGGAGACTGGGACGATCAGACAGAGGGATCTCTCCTGAAGGCTGGATAGCGAGATGGGTCTCGTCGTGTTCCATGTGGAGGTGGCCCACTTGGGAACCCTCATCATTTGGTTGGGTCATGCTTGAATGTGGTTTTTTTGGGCCGGCCAGGCCTCTCAAGGTTGGCAGTATTTACATGGGAGCCTTTGAAGGTTCCTGTTGCTTGGGGAACAACGGGAAGATTGCTGAATGAACACACGGCTTCAGAGGCCGCTTTCCCGCTGCCCAAAGGGAGACCCCTGCCATGGTGCGGAGAAGGCCTCCGGGCTCAGAGAATATCATGTGTACAGGCCAGGGGCCTCTGCTGGGTTCACCTGGTATCCGGAGAGCTGTATCCCAGAGCCCAGGGGCAGTGCTGTCTCACCCCATCTTAACAGCTGCAGAGCGGGAGAGGCAGGCTCTCAGTAAGGATATTAAGGACTAGTCGACTATTCGATAAGCCAAAGCTTATCGGATAGT